GATGAAAACTTTTTCGCTTTAAAAGATTTGTTGATTTACTTTCTGATGGTTAAAAATACCAAATAATTCTTTTATATATAGTAGACTTTCATTTAGTACTTGTACTTTGTGAAAGCATCATAAATTAGGTCAAATACAAAATCATTTCATGTCAAGCGAAAATATTTTTACTTCTCACTAAATAAATTACACAATACTTCGGTGCTTTCTTGAAAACAACTTTTTTCCAATAATTTGCCTTCACGACGACCACGTTACCGGCTATCGGTAAAAAAGAGATCATTCTTTAGTTTGAACAAGAACTCGCGGTCGGCTAGATATTTTCCGTGTGCTTCCTTCTCTAAATATAGTTTATGTATCTGTGTTCTCATCATGTTTTCTTTCAAATGTTTTTCGGTTTTCTTCTAATTCATTCATATATATATATTTAAATGAATGAATTAGGAGGAAACTCAAGATCACTTGAAAGAAAATGTCAGGAAAGAAAAACATACCTAAACTATATCAAGAGAAGGAAACACTTGGAAAATACCCTAAAGCGAGGAAAAAAACACATATGTATATCGTACGTGCCATCTATGTACGATAACATAGTAGAGAAAAAAAAGAGAAAAGAAATATATGGGATATATCTAAGTCACACTATAACAGTTGCCGTCGGTGGCAAAGTTTTTGTTTGACTTTAAGTAGTTTCTATTATCATGTGCGGTATGCAGTTGATTTCTATTTAGTGATTATATATGTTAAACTCATTTGTATAATCTCTATTTTAATTTTTTTGTCCATCGAAAATATTTTTATATTATCTTTTTTTCTCTTCCAAAGATTTATTTGAATTAGAATTTTACTACATAGAAATCAACCATGTAGTCTCTCTACAGTGACTGAAAAAATTCTATCTTTTCGGAGAACTTCAACTGACTTTTTCGATAATTGGAAGCATATTAGTTCAACCATTCCTGTAGGACATTCCGAAAAAGACGCTCCTCACAGTTACTCAAATTCTGAATATTACATAAATCTGAAGGAAATATGGCTGATAGAGGTAAAACTATTGACTACATCGAGTTCGATGTCTGTGCGAATACGTTATGTTGTTTCGGCTTAAACGTCATTAAATCTTCGATCAGACATAAACTAAAAGTGGTAGATGCACAATAAAGTCCACGTACTACCAAGTTATCACGAAGAATGATTGAAAGATTTTACTATTCTTTTAGATAGAAATGAGTGATATGAAACACAGAAGTAAAGTTGAAAAAGCCACCAGCAATTTATCACAAATAATAGCTAAACCAATAAAGGCTTCCAGCGTTCGCTGAATGTTACCTCGTCAGTACAAGCTGATGATACTAGAAGAAACATCTTCAGTTCTTGGTGTACTAGATTCAACTGCTGGTAAAGTACGAGGTAATCGACCATGTCCAAATGGGGAGTGGTTATTACGAGTTGATACTCCTCATCACAGGGCCGAATTTAATCATATAAATATTAATCCACGATTGACCAACGTTCCAGATCCTCATGTTCAAATTCCGCAAAGTGTAGTCACAATTAGTAAAGAAGTAGCAAAAACAGCTAAATTTATGGAAAAAGTCAACAAAGTTGCCCTTCCAGTGGCTATGGCACTGGATACTATACGATTTAGTTGTGCTATTTATGATGACAGCAAACGGGGCGATAAAAAGCAAAAACAAACGAAATTAACTGTTACTTCTATTGTTGGTGGATGGATTGATGGTGTTGCTGGAACATATGCAGGAACGGAAGTTAGTGAAGTCATTGGAGGTCATGTAGGTGCACTTTTCGGTGGTGTTGGTGCTATTCCTGGTGCGGCTGTTGGATCTATCATCTCGGTAGTTTTAGTGGAGGTGTAGTTGGCTCATATGGTGTTGAAGCATTGGCCGAGTCGACATTATCCAGTGATGAGCAAGAAGAAAAAAAATGAAGATTGAGGACTTAAAAAAAAAACGTGTTATTATCCTTCTTTTTTTTTTTTAAATTCATGTGTTCTAAGAACTGTTCATGAGAGGATTGAAAGTTTCAATAGAAATATATACTATTAGTATAGCATATCTTCGATTTTTTTTCTCAAATTTTCTAATTACTCTCATTTTAATTCATAAAAAACCTTTTTATATTTTTGTTTCAGAATATTTTACACTCAACATGGAATTGGAACTTGTCGTTTCTTCGAAACACTGGATTATCAAACCTGGTTTTTCTAAAACGGTTTACGAACCTGCTTTGGTGAACACTTGGGAAAATACAATGAAAGATATTTTAATATTACACCTAGTCCACCATCCTATGCTTCTTATAGCACCTCATCCATTGACTTCTCTTGAAGGTGTTCTGTCGAATGCCGAAACAATTAAATTTCATAAGAATATCGAATATTCGATCATTGTTTTACATCCTGGAAATGTACATGACAAAGAACTGCTTACAACTGCAATGGATAGTATTGAATTCGAATGTGCAGGTTTATGGTTTGTTGTATACAATCAACCTTTGCCTATTTCCACAGATTTCATATTAAAAACACTCAAACTTATTCGTGAAAGTAATCATTTCATTTCATTATCTGATATTGATGTGGAATTATTAGCATGTGTTGCAGATGGCCAAGAATTATTGTGGTTGAATCCTGGATCAGAAATTTCAATAAATGAAATTTTATATTTATTGAAATTACATAAATGGGAAGTATCAATGGAAGGAACTATTGAACAATAAAAAAAATAATGTTCATCATATGCAAGTTCAATTAACTGTAAACTTATAGCGTGCAAAATATTATCAATAAAAATTTCGAAACGATTGATTGTATCAATCAATTATTTACATTTTTTTTCTATTAAGATTACATATACGTTTCGTCTTTATTTACAAATAGGTTTCGAACAGTTTATAAGCGATAGTAACCTGGCTTGTCTAATAGAATTATAGACTTTCTATATGTATGTGTTGTCTTCAAAATCCTCTGACAATTTCGGTCCTAAAAACACCAGAGAGATGCAGCATCCCAAAGCAAAGTAAGAAACAAAAGAGGAAGGGAGAGAAATAAAAAGAAATGAAAATGACGACAAGACAAGGGAAAGAAAAATGAAGAAGAAAAAGAAACAGACGAAATGGTTGCATGAACACCATACGACTAGATCTTCGGGAAGAATATGAAACTTTCAGAGTCGTTCTTCTGCAGTTTCAACAAAGAAAGTGTGAGTGTGGGGCTTGGTCTTCTTTTCACAAACATGCACACTCACACCCCAATGAAGAATTCTTGTACTAACAAAATTTATTTATTTTTCTAGAACAGATATAATCAATTATAACATTTCATTCAAGCATTATTATATGTCGGTGATCTAGAATATATATTAATTTTATTTAATAATTTACCTCGATGGTTATGTGCATCCTATCGAGAAATAAATACACGTCTAACAAAAATTATTGCTTATACGATTGATTCATTTTATTAAAGGTAAAGAAAAACACAAAAAAGTGAATTTATTCTTTATTATAAAATTTTTTTTTGCTTATTTAAGTCATTCGGATCTTCATGTTTGTTTTCTTCAATATGACTTAAATAATCCATTAAATTTAAACATTTGTCCACGTAATTTAACTTTAATTAAAACATGGAATGAATTTCGAGAAAATATGTATCCATTATGATTACATCTTGGTACCTATTGTCAAGATCGTCTTTTATCTATACTATTAACACGTTTATGTACAAATATAATTAAAAAACCAATTATTACTGATGAACAACAAGAAGATATACTTTTTATTAATTGATGAAGCTCTTTTACTAAGTCTTTCATTACTTGATGTTAATAGTTGTTTAGCTATTGAATTATGATCATTAATGAAATTATTTCCATTTGATATACGTTATGGACTTTATGGATAATAGCATGAAGAAACATATCGTAAAACACCACAACTTATTTTTATTAAACAAGATGTTACAGGTAAAAGTCGAGCTATACTCAGATAAGATTATAGAGAATGTTTGTTTTTATCCCTATTGGCTCTGAGATTATTTAATAAATTTACATTAAAATATGCTTAATTTTTGGTTTTTTATTTAGACGTATTACTAAAGATAATGTTAAAACTTACAGTCGTCAAATAGCCAAAATGACACAATAATCCAATTGTAATAGTGTCAGTTGTAAGTAAAATTTATTCTTTTCGTATTATAAATTCTAAAATTTTTTTGTAAATTAAGCTTATCGATCACATACAACGATTTAATAATTTTATATCTGTTATAAATGATGCCTTAAAATATCTTTCATCACTCACATACGATATTGTTTGTTATACAATATTACATGCATTAACATCACCAATCTCATCAATATCAATACCATCATATATTGATGGAAAAATGAGTCGTGAAAATGCAACACCAGCACAATAGTTTCAAAATTTATGTGTTTTATCAGCTAATGTATTTAAAAAATATTCTGTTGATTTTACATCAGTTTTTTACTATATATATATGATCAATTACGTGTTGAAAAAAAACATGTGATTTATATTTATTATGTGAAATAATAATAAAAATGAGTGGTGTTGAAGTATCATCAACTGTTACACGTGAACAATTAGAAGCTGCATCTGGTGGTGAATTATTACATAGTGAAGCTGGACAATTTACAACAGCAAGAAATGTTAAAACACCTTCAATACGTTTAAAAGAAGCATTATTAGATAATCATTTATATTTACCATCATCAATTATTATAGCACAACAACGTCGTTGTATTGTTTTTAAATTTGGTGCACAAAGA